ATGTGCTGAGTAAAATAAGAGGAAAAATTTTGGGGTACAACAATTAGCATCTCATAATCAAGTTATAAAGACAGTTTTAAAGCATTAATATGGCATTTATCCTCAACAAAAGAGATATAACATTGTATTTTGCCTTCAATGATTACCATATTTCTCCTTTACAAATAAGTAATCTAGTTAAAATAGGACATGTTTTTCTCCTTTAGAAAATGACATATAACAAGACTGTTAGCTACTGTTATGTAATTAATTATTTACAGGAATGGATTCAACTTACAAAATTATTCTATGAAGTATAAAAATATCATGGTTCGTATGAATATAAGTTAGAAATTTAATTGGTAATGCAATCTCGTAAAGTTAACATTGAGTTCTGATGCTATGCAGTATGATCAATTTCAATATTTCATCACTTTTATAACTTACAAATTAAATTGGAAATAACATTGTGTTGTAAATTCAAATTGTATTGTTTCATATGATTATAAGTTTGAAATTCAATTGGTAATAGGATTGAATCAATTAATCAAAGTTTTTTACTCAATGTATATGAAACAAACAAATATGCATTTAGGAAAGAGAAGCCCACCAAGAATGAGAAGCCTTCACTCTACCAAAAGCTAACTGATAAACGGGTAGTTAAAGAGAAGCCTAATGTATTTTTCCCAAGAACCTGGAAATGTGAAACAAAACAATAAAATATGGAAACTGAAAAAGGAAGCCATTCTTGTACATTAAATATTTACAACTCAGCTTTAGAGTTTATCATGAAAAACATAGAAAAATGGCATCAACCAAACTCGTTGCAGTAAGTTTTATTTCTTTAACCATTGCAGGTTACACTTTTTAATGTTTATTTTGAAAAAAGAATATGTCAAAAGCAACCGGGATTGTAACACCGCAAACACAATGGAAGCAACCACAATTTTAATGTCGTAACCGCAATGCTTGTAACGCTGCAACCGTAATACTTCTAATGTAGCAACTGCAACGACAACAATCTCAATTATAACAGCGCGACTGCAACGCTAACATAAGTTTATTTCCAGAACTCTAATTTTTACTCCAATGTTATTAGGAATCATATAATTTGATTTAGTACAAAAAGTAAAACATGAAACAAAATAAACAATAAATCAAACCAAATTCTCAATCACCATTGTATAAAAAATAAATCAAACCAAATTTGCAATCACTTCTTCCTCTGGTCGATAAATTAGATCCATTATCCGCCAAATCTGCAAAAAATCAAACCAAGATAAATGAGGACCAAGATGTTGCATAAATTCAAAGGTGTTTTGAAACACTAACCAATTTACTCAAACATTTATTTGGTAACGTCTTGAAAACATATTCACTCACCATTTTACAAACACTATGTACCAACAAAAGTAAATTGGTGGTAATAGTTTCATAGATAAAAAATGGAGGAAACTATTAAGTGGAAGTTTTTTATATCAGCTCTTAATATCTCAAAAAAAAAACATTATAAACAACCCCAAACCATTAGAAATATCTCAAATATCATTAAGATGTTATTATAAATTAGCAAGAAAGCTTACATCTTAGCTTAGATGCAAATCCGTAATCTCTATTGAAGCATAAAAATGCAACATTCCCATCAAAACTCCAAAACCTAACATGTCTCATGTGAGATTTCCTCTGTCACCATAAAAAGAAGAGACCATGCATAAAAATATAAAGTAATAGGAATTAGTAAACAAAAACAGAAGATAAAGTAGAAAATTCACCACGTTTTAAAGAGCATAAAAGCATAAAGGATGAGCAGAAAAGTGAAAGAAACAAATAACATAAATTTAGAAAAAAACTTATAAACCAAATTTTATGAAGAAAATCAAAACTTTGAAGCAAGTTAAATGCCATAGAAGATATGTGAAGGAAAAAAACGGAAAAACGTACGAAATCGCAAACTGAATCGCACACCACTGTTGTTATTTGATTTCTTTTTCAAACCATGAAAGCTGCTCCACCATCTTCAATCGCACAATCCTATCATCATCACAAAGTCATTGTGAATCCACATGCAAAACCATAACACCGCTGCCGATTTACACTTCAGGTCTGCCGATTTCGATGAAAACACAATTAGGTACATATAGAAAATACTGAAGAATAGGGGTGTGCAAAAAAACTGGTTTACACGAACCAATTTTAAAAATTCAGTGCACCAATTTTTATAATCCAATTTGTGTTGGATGTGAACGCTCCATATCCATTTTGATATCAAAACAAAAATCTGGTTTCCATTTTTCATAACCAGTTGTCATACATAAAACCAAATGTATATGATATTATTATTAATGAAGAAGGTATTATTAAAGCGCAAGAAATTCAAATTCGTGTAAACCCGTTTATATAATATTCAAATTGAAAATGGAAAACCAATTTATATATTTTATTTTATTTATTATTAATTAGTTAATTAGAGTGGTGATTAGTTAAGAGAAGAAGAATTTATTAAGTTAATTGTGATGAACGATTGTTAATCTATGTTTTTTTGTTTAATTGTTATGGTGTAACAATTGTTTTGAAGCAGGTTTTGTCTTGGTTTTAAGATGTTTAGTTTTAGTTTTTTTGGATTCTAGTTTTAGTGTTCTGGTGCAACTTTATTATGGATTAAAGTGTAATGTTTTTACTCTTAAATTGAATTTTACTTTTTTGTTTTTCAAAAAAATTGTGATAAACGATTTGTGCTGGTGTTTGAATATAATTGTATAAAAATGACACATGCCTTTGCATCTTGTTTCCTTCAACCTGGATTTTTTCCGTCTCTTCAAATTAAGAAAGATACAATTTCCTTATAAATCAATTTTGATTGAAAACCGATTTAAACCGGTTTTGAACTGAATTGAAACCATTTTACAATTTTAAATTGGTTATTATAAAAAATGGTTTGATTTTAAAACTAGAACCATTAAAATAGATTGGTTCTTAAAATTTGGTAACCATGCACACTCCTACTGAAGAAAGTTGAGATAAAGAGATGAAATGGAGAGGTTGGGTTTCGGATCTATTTTAGTTAGATAAAAGAGAGAGAAAGAATAGTATAGAATGAAAGAAAGGTAAGAAAAAATAATATTAAAGAAAAAAAGAAAATTGTAATGGAATCAGATGACATCATCAATTGATCCAAACTTGACAATCAAAGACATAATAGAACAAACATGTAGTTGAAATAGAATAAAGTGACATCATTAGTTAGAAAAAGTAGTTTTTAAACACAAATTACCCTCAATTTGATGAGGTGACAGAATAAAAAGAAATGACATATGAGAGATTTCCGATATAATTACTTTTCTTTATTATAGATGTGTACCTCATAACTTTTTTTTTCTTTTCTGTAACTCAACCCATACAACCATGCATTTAGGCACAATAACAAATCAATTAACTTATCATTCAAATTTCAACATATACACAATCTAAGAGCTAACACATGAAAAATGTAATTAAATAAAATCTTTAAGGCTTAAATGCAGTTTTGACCCCCCTAGTTTAAGGTTTTTGGAGTTTCGATCCCCCTAGTTTAAAAGCCAGGTTTCTAGTTCCCAAAGTTTTTAAATTTGGGATTTTTGAAGCCCCCTCCATCTGGCTGCCCAAAAAGTGACATGGCACAGGGAGAGTAATGCCACGTTTTTTTTTTTTTTTTTTTTTTTTAACTTTTTTTTTTTTTTTTTTTAAAAATTTTTTTTTTTTCTTTCGAACCTTAATTTTGCCCATGAGGAGAAGAAAAAATTTTTTTTTAAAAAAAAAAAATAATAATAAAAAAAAAAAAAATAATAATAATAATACGTGGCATTACTCTCCCTGTGCCATGTCACTTTTTGGGCAGCCAGATGGAGGGGCTTCAAAAATCCCAAATTTGAAAACTTTGGGGACTAGAAACCTGACTTTTAAACTAGGGAGATCGAAACTCCAAAAACCTTAAACTAGGGGAGTCAAAACTGCATTTAAGCCAATCTTTAATTGTTTTGTCATGATTAAATTTTGATTAACCTTCTAAAAACTTAAGACAAAATTTTAAAAAATGATTGAAATAAATGTTCTTTCGAAAATAACATATAAAACAGATTATTTTTTTTAATAAAACCAAATATACAAAAAAAAATAAAAAAGAACAACTAAAAATTATGAGAACATCAACTAAACTCAGATAAACCATATAAACATCCTAAAAAAGACATACAAACAACTCAGATACAATCGACAAAAAAGATTTAAAAAATTAAAATAAACACATATAATCAACACTATTTAACGAAACCGCGTACTAAGAGCAAAACCAAATAATTAAATAAAACGACTATTCACCGAGAACATAATTTTTTTAAATTATAATAAAATAATTTTTGATAATATTAAATACAAAGTTAACCATTCATGTGTTGGTCTTGATTTATATAGGATTATTAAATAGTATTCCGTGGCACAAAAAAATCTTCATTTTCTGTTGATTTATTTTTGAGGCCTAAGTTATGCCACAATGTCACGTGCGATAAACTAGAAGAAAAAAGAAACCTACACAGTTGGAAAAGAAAAGAAAACCGTCCAAGATAAGAAAAATGACGAAAGCAAAACAAAAATGAAACAAAAGAAAACAAAATAAATCGCTCATCTCAAGAAACTAAAACGATCCATTTTCTGTCAGTTTAATCACGATACTCCGTATCAGAAGATTCACCACAGTCTCAGATTCTCACTGATTTTCTGGTCAAAAGGTTCGTTCAATTCTAACAACACACAACACTTTCTCCAGTTGATAATCAAATTTTGTGGTGTTTTTGTTGATTTTATTTTGATTATATTTGGTTTTGTTGAATTCATTCAGCTTTGATATTATTTAGCAATTGTAATGTTATTAATTATTAATATTATCATTCAATTTTGTTAAGTAATTCTCACTGGTTGATTATAATCTAAATTTTCACTCTGCAGAAGCAAAATTTTAGCTGCTAGGGTTTAGCTCTTTTAAAAGCAGCATGTCTTTGGGTACTTCCCAAGCAGTTTTTCAGATTCTGTCTAGGGTTGTGCCTCAATGTGGTCATAATGAGCTTTACGGAAACACTTCGCAGTTGCGGGTGAAATGTAGGAACAAAATGTCTTCAAGGCGTAGGTTTTTAATCGAGAGTTCTACTTCCAGCGTCCTTCAAAGCAAGTTAAGACCTCATCGATTTCCGTTGACCGCTGTCAGTTTTTGTGACTATAAGAGCTATACATGCAAATGCCAACAGGCTGAAAATGTTAGTGGCGGCATAATGTCAGGAGATGGGAACGGATCAAGGTTTGCGAGTGATGTTGAGAAATCAAATTTGGTAAGCAATGTGATGAGTGTGAAGTCTGTTCTAGAGTTTGAAGATGTTCAGTTGTTGAAACAGGAGAAGGAGATTTTGTCGTCTAATATTACAAATGGAAATATCTCGAAAAACTTTGACTCTATTAGCTCAATTGAGGAAGAAGCGTGGGATTTACTGAGGGAGTCTGTAGTTAATTATTGTGGCAATCCTATTGGAACTATTGCTGCAAAGGATCCAAATAGCACCAATGTTTTGAATTATGACCAGGTTTTTATTCGGGATTTTATTCCTTCTGGAATCGCTTTCCTCTTGAAGGGAGAGTATGATATTGTTCGTAATTTCATTCTTCATACACTTCAGTTGCAGGTAATCTCTTGGTCTTATATTAATGATATCATGTTCTGACAACAAAACCAAATTTGATACAACTTCCTGCAATGGTAATTTGATACAATTTGATACACAAGTCTTTGATGCGTATGTTCATTTTTTTTATTGACCGTGTTGAACTGATGTCCTTATTATGTGTTATGCCTTTACAAACTTTGTTTATTCATTAGTTAGTACGGTTTAAAGTCCCACTAACCTAGCTCCATCTGCTTGTAATTTTTTTGGTGAATTATAGTACTACCCTTTATGTTCCTAAATATAAGACTCTCTTGACTTTTTTCCTTGTCCCTTTTTATATGTCATCTTTTAAATTTTCAACTGCATTTATTATTTTTTATCAACATATTCTTAATTATGTTAGATCACTTTTCGCAATCTATAATAAATACTTTGATGATAATGTTAACTAATTGGCTCTCATGAAAGCTAAACTTATAAAACAATACCAATTGTCAACAAATTTAATACCACAACCAACTTTCTTTACTCAATGAGGTCCTATAAAAATTGAAAAAGCTTTTGCGTGACATTTGCCATTGATGTTGATTGTCCGTAATTTAAGGAAGGGGCATTAACTAACACTTTTCATTAGTAATCTTTCATTGTTTGTACTTCTTTGTCTAAGACCCATTTGTATTTTCATGCGAGCTTTGCTGTTTTTTGATACACTGAAGCATCGAACAAATTTATCCCATTTCAGAGCTGGGAGAAAACTATGGATTGTCATAGTCCAGGACAAGGTTTGATGCCTGCTAGTTTTAAGGTTCGGACAGTTCCTCTGGAAGGTGATGACTCTGCAACTGAAGAGGTTTTGGATCCCGATTTTGGAGAGGCAGCTATTGGCCGTGTTGCTCCTGTTGATTCCGGTAAGTTAAGTGATAGGATATATAGGATCTTTTTTACACAGCAAAAGAAATTTACCATAATACTTCTTGGATTGCTTAACTTATTTAACGTATGATCTCAGGGTTGTGGTGGATTATTTTACTACGAGCATATGGAAAATGCTCTGGGGATTTATCAGTTCAGGAGAGAGTTGATGTGCAAACAGGAATTAAGATGATTTTGAAGTTGTGTCTTGCTGATGGCTTTGACATGTTTCCAACATTGTTAGTAACTGATGGTTCTTGCATGATAGATCGGAGGATGGGCATACATGGGCATCCTTTGGAGATTCAGGTATTTAAGATTTCCTTTCTTTCTTCAGTAGTGTGCTACTTATCAACTATTTCTTATTAAGTGTTAGAGTCAAAGAATCAAATCCAAATATTTATTATTAGGATTAGAATTAGCAAGGAATTTCAATTGGTATTTACTTTATATGCTATTATAGTTAGAGGTGGGTGTAGTTTGAATCACAAATTCAACATGGTATCAGATCAGGTTCTGATCACATATCTAGTAGGGTTTATCACAGATGCCGGCTGCCGCTTCCGCCAAAAGGCAAACTACCATAATTTTCCAGTGTTTCTGCATCTTTTTTCCGTGAGCCTCCTAAACAGTCTATTATTTATTTTCGAAGACCCTTTTTGGTCTTCGGCATATGTATTTTGAAGACCCTTTTTTGGCTTTCCGTAATGACATGTTTTCTCCTATGGACCCTTCTTCGGCATGTGTATCATCGGTCACTGTCGACACCATTGTGATCATACTGTTGTCGCCAGTCCAGCCACCTGACGTACACAGTCATCGGAGCAGCGACGTGCCAATAGTTCTCCATCGCTGTGTCATCCTTTCAGTATGTCATCAAATTTTTCATCATGTCATCCGAGTTCAAAATTTCTTCAGCTGCCGTCATTCACTCAATTGGTTGGAGTTTCTGTCCTGCTTCTCTGTTCACGTCCACTATGCTTCATCCAGTTATTCTCTTTCCCCATAGTGTGTTTCTCTGGGCATCTATTTGTAATTCGACCTGTTGCGCCTTCTTCGGTGAGACTCATTCCCAAAAATTACCGTATCCACCTTCAGAAACCTCGAACGAGCACGGCTCTCTGCTACAAACATTCGAGGCAGATGCAACCTCTGTGACCCGACCTGAATTCTGGAATTATGTTTCTCATCTGGATCACTGAATCAGTGACAAAGCTTTTTAGTAGTTGCAGTGAATCCAAATCCTGAATGATTCTAATTTACCTGGGAAAAGTTCCGTAATAGCTATAATTTTGTTTTTTGAATTATGTTTCAAAGTTTTGTTTGCATATCAATTTTGTCAAATAAATTTATTACAGTTTTCAAAAGCGCTGTGTACCCGAGATGCCTAAAATTAAAGAGGGAATTACGATCAAAGAAACTTATCTAATGTGTATTTTCTTTTTTCTTTTTGCTTTATTTTTCTGTTTCTAGGCACTGTTTTATTCTGCCTTACTTTGTGCACGTGAGATGCTTACTCCCGAGGATGGATCAGCTGATCTTATACGAGCACTGAACAATCGTCTGGTAGCTCTTTCATTTCATATTAGAGAATATTATTGGATTGATATGAAAAGGTTAAATGAAATTTACCGTTACAAGACAGAGGAGTACTCGTATGATGCAGTTAATAAATTCAACATATATCCAGACCAGATTCCTCCTTGGTTAGTGGAATGGATGCCGAACAAAGGAGGCTACTTAATTGGTAACTTACAACCAGCTCACATGGATTTCCGGTTTTTTTCACTGGGAAACTTGTGGTCTGTGGTAAATAGTATGGCCACAGAGGAACAATCACATTCCATTTTAGATCTCATTGAAGCCAAATGGTCAGATTTGGTAGCAGAGATGCCACTCAAGATTTGTTATCCCGCCCTTGAAGGTCAGGAGTGGCAGATAATCACTGGAAGTGATCCCAAGAACACGTACTGAATTTAGTTTTCCTCTGCTTATGTTTTTCTGTAGTAATATTTTTCATGACGTGATTTTATTTTGTTTTATTTACATTTTGCAGGCCTTGGTCCTACCATAATGGAGGCTCCTGGCCATCACTGCTCTGGCAGGTTTGTTACAATGGCAAAGTTTGATGCACTTGCATCCTTATTTTTCTTTTTAGATGGCAATTAATCGGCAATGAAATGATATTCTTTGTGTTTGACGAAGCGAAGCTGTTCTGATTTATAGTTACCATACTTTTCACCTTAGCTCTTATCATAATCTATCCTATTGAATCTTTTTCATCTTTCACATGCAAAACCCTTTCATAGCTTAGTTGGTTTCTTCACATAAGCATCGGATGTTTGAATTATAACTCAACGTTCAAAGTTTTAACATAAAAAATGCCTATTGCAGCTCACAGCTGCATGCATAAAGATGAACAGACCCCATATTGCTGCAAAAACTGTTGAAATTGCTGAGAGGCGTATATCAAGAGACAAGTGGCCTGAATATTATGACACAAAAAGATCTCGATTCATCGGAAAACAATCTCAACTGTTTCAGACATGGTCAATTGCGGGATACCTTGTGTCAAAGCTGCTGCTTGCTGACCCAAGTAAAGCAAACATACTGATAACTGCAGAGGATTCTGAACTTGCGAATGCTTTTATTACAGCCAATCCAAAAGGAAAGCGTGGGAGGAAAAATTTGAAGCAGACCTACATTGTATGAGTGTTTGATTGCAATTCATTTGGTTCTTTTTGGGCATCTGATAGGTTTATGTCCCATTTATTATTCATAATCTACTTCATTTTTCTTCTGATTAGCAGCACATTATTCTAGAAACAGTATACAAAATATATAGGATTGATTATGATGAAACTTCTTATAACAGTAAATGTTGTATATGTAATTGAAACATGTTAATATTTGAGGACTGAGTAAGCATGCGGAAGATACCGTTAATCTAGATGATGAGAAACTTATGTGCTACATTTCTAGAGGATATATTTCCCCCAATTTCTAGATCATTTATTATCGTTTTTAGTAACCGTTTTAGGATACCATTTGATGAAAATGTGCCGTGTTAGTATCCATGGAATTCAAGGATAGCCACTTGAAAATCTTATATTCTAAATTTGTAATAAAATAAAATTGGATTGGAGTGAGTTTTGGTATATAACTCTAAGGCTCTTCAAATCTAATCGTTTCAATTTATTTGGAATCGAACCAAATTTAATTTATTGATTTGATATATCGGTTTGGAATTTCAAACCGTGCCAAACAAGTAGAAGATACTTTTTTCTAAACTGAATTATTTATTAAATAACCAAATTGTTATATGATTTTTTATTAAAATAATTTAAACTTGTTTGGTTTTAGAGTTGTATATTATTGGTCTCTTCTTTTGCTCGAAAAAACTCTTCCTCAATAAGACTGACTCATTATGAAGGTCTAATCCAAACCTCCACCTTATTGACGAACAATTGTATTGTCGCAAGGAAACTCCACACTGAATCCAGACACCATTTTCACCTTCATTGTTGGAATCCATCCAACGGTCCTCCACATGGAGTGCGACGTTCACCGGGAGCGATTCTAACTATCATTCGTATATAATTTTGTGTCACACCAAAGTACAATCCATTGCGAACTTGTATGTTTTTTCTTTCTGACTTTACGGGTAAACACCTTTGAGATCTTATTTTGAAGTAGTTGTTAACAAAAAAACAACTTTAGAGGAACATGATGTGCTTATGTAAACCTCTTGGACAACAAGTGCTAAAGTGTGAGTAGAGAAGAGTCAAAATCAAACGTTGATACTGAAATCCAAATCCAAAGGTTTGGGGCTTGAAAATGGATATGATTTGGAGATGGTGACATATGTGAAATCACATATTTGATAGTGATAACACAGCGATGCCTTGAGGCTTGAACTGTCACTTTCAGTCACACACACTTAAACGACCATGATTCGCGTATGCATCACTTTATTCTTTTTTGCTGAGAATATGCATATATCATATGATTTGTACTTTTCTTGTGCTAGCTGCTTTAGCTTGCGAACTTCTATGACCTATAACACAACCAGGTTCTTTGTTGTTAGTGTATCAGTTTTCTCGTGCTATTATTCGAATTTAAATCAGAACTAACTACCGCGTGGAGATTAAATTGCACTACAACTACAACGTTAAAAACTGTTTTTTTTTGCAGTTGCCACTCATAGTCATAATTTATGCTACAATAAAATAGACTTTTTCCATGATGCTGAGTTGCTGAGTGGTTGTCTTAATTAAATCATAAAAAAGACAATGGATTTCATTTGTGTCTTAGGCATGTATTTTGAAGTGATGAGATTGGTTTTTCCCCCAATTTTTATAATTGTTGTTTTTATATTATTTTATATCTACAATAATTAAACTTTCTAAATATTTCAATGTGGAACAAAAAATAAAGTTTATCGAAGAAGGTTTGCGATATGGTAGTAGGTGGTAGAGGTCTTCGATGGACGAAGATGGAGTGTATCGGTAAGATTAATACTCTAATGCTTAAGTTAGTAAAATTAGAGAGAAGAAGCCTGTTAGTATGCAATGAGTTGTATATTAGTATGATACGAAGTCACACTTATATACGAGCTACTGTTAGAATTGTTCCTGATAAACATTGCACCCTATGTGGGGGACTGTTGGATGGATTCCAACGGTGGATATAAGAATGATGTATGGATTCAGGGAAGAGTTTTCTTGCAAGAGTAAACTTGTTCGTCAATTTGAGAAGGCGGAGCTTTGGATTTGACCTTCGTATTAGGTTGGTCTTATTAAGTCAATTGACTTGTCCCAAACAATTGCTCTCCAAGTCCTTGTTATCGGATACAATGTAACACCCATGGCTCAAAAGGGTGAAGAGTGGATGTAACACACGAGGTCGAAGAGGGCGAAGAGTGGTTGCCGATGCCGAATTCATATTAGAATGAGAGAGATCTTGAGGATGTACAGGGATGAAACTGTATGATTGAAGGAAGGTTTATAAGGATTAATTGGTACTATCCATACCAACAAGACACATCTTTTTTTCAGTAGCCTGATAAATAAGAACGTTGTAGTTAAGAAGGCTTGACTTGGAGTAATATTTGGATAGGTGACATTCTGAGATGTTTCTCAGAAAACGTGTGAGTGGAGACAAATCATGTTGAAAAGATCCGTGTTAGTTTATGGGGTCATTCGGTAATCGTGAAAGCAGTTTGAAGCGTTATAAATCGTATCAGAGCAGACCTCTTCCAGTACAATGTGGTTCAGGGACAAACCAATTGGAAGTTGGTGGACATGTAACATCTTATACCAAAAAGGGTGGAAAATGGATGTAACACACGAGGCCGAAGAGGACAGAGAATGGTCACCGATGCCGAATTCACATTGGAAAGAGAGGAATTTTGATGCTGGGTAGAGATAAGACTGTATAGTTAAAGAAAAGCGTATAAGAATTGATTGGTACTACCTATACCAATAAGACACATCTTCTTTTTTGATAGTCTAACAAATAAGAACTTCATAGTTAATGAGGCTTGACTTTGAGTAGTATTTGGATGAGTGGCCTTTTGGGAAGTTTTCTGGAAAACGTGTAAGTGAGGACAAAGTATGCTGAAAAGACCTGTGTTAGTTTGTAGGGTCAGTCGGTAATCATGAAAGCGGTCTGGGATGCTACATATGAAACTAGGATTGTTGTAGAATTATCGTTCTGAAATTTCGCAATTGTTGGAAGAGTTTTTCAAGCAAAAGGAGAGACCAATGATATGTTAAGCGGGGATCAATGCCTTGGGAAGACACATATTAAATACTTGTTCCCTAACTAAAATGATACTTTGGAGAGTACCTCAATGTGAACCTAGGTGTCTAGGTTAGGGAGGCAATGTCTTTAGAGTGATTAAGTGTACTCGACTACCGTTATGAAACTGAGGTCGAATCTAGGTCGTTGATCATGCCTTTTAATATTTCGTTGATTTTAGATCGTACATCATGATGCCACTCTTTGCCAATAAACATTGAGAGAGAGAGAGAGAGAGAGAGAGAGAGAGAGAAAGAGAGTGGCAAGGCCGATCGGTTGGCTGTTCTAGGATGTGTGTTGATGAAGCTTAAACCCTTAGCCGCTGCTTCAAAACATCTTCTGGATGCTTGTATGTCCCCGTGAAGGGTGGCGACGAGTCCCTCCTCGGTGTAGTATTTCATCTCCAGGTGCACAATGGAGGGAACCATAATAAGTTCGGCCATAGTAGGCCTCCCGAATATGCACTGATACAATGATAGGAAGTCCACCACAAGGAACTACATCTTGATCGATATGGCTGTTTCAGCCGTCCCAAATATGATGATCAACTCGACATATCCCTAAGGTTTGGTGATAGAACCATTGAATCCCCGAAGGTCGGATCCCACATAAGGGGTCAAGTGAGTCTCGTTGAGCTATAAAGTAGAGAACAACTGGGAGTACATTATATCAACCAAATTGCCTTGATCAAACAAAATGCGCCTGACATTGAAACTAGCCATTCATGCTCGTACGAGCAGAGGAATACTAGAGTTGGGAGCTCCACCGGGAAGCTCTTCTTGGTAAAATACGATGGGAGAAGATCTTCCTCTGATCTTATTGAGGGTGGCATTCTTGTCGGAGCTGGCGTCCATGAGTTGCTCGAATCTTCTCTTGACTGAGCCAACCGTGCATTTATCGAAGCCCCTGCCGGATATGACCATTGCCGCTGAAAATGTCTCCCATAGACTCTGGGTTCTGAAGTACAAGGGGACCTCATCTAGGCCATGGAAATAGAAGTATTTTGGTCATGTGATGCTCAAGGCAACATGCATGAGACTTTCGTTAGATGATGGTTTTTCCTCTTCGACCTTTTTGGACTCTTGGGTGTCTTCGTGGGCACCTTTCTTCTTCTTATATTGTTTGAGATGCCCATATCGGATGAGTATCTTGATGGCATCCTTGAGGTGGATGAAATCTTCTGTATTATGCCCGTGACTTTTATGAAACTGGCAGTACCTGCTTTTGTCTGTCCCTGGCTTGGACGATATTTTTCGGGAAAAGCGTACCCCAACTTATTTGAACTCTGAGTTCGCGCATTCTGTTAGAATACGCTCGTGCGAAGCGTTGATGGGGTGTAGTCGTGGAAACGACCAGCGAGCCCCTGTAGTCTCTTGAATCACAGGATTTGTCCTCCCTTTTCTTCTCTACTCCCCGATGGGATGTTGAGGGTTCTTCATTCTTTGAAACTTTTGCATTCTCACGATACCACAAGTCTCGTGCATTGTTAGCAGCCTCTTTCTCCTCGTACTGGATGTACGTGAGTTCTTTGAACATGAGGGAATCCAACATTGTGGGAGTTTCTATGCCAACTGCTTTGGCGAAGTCACTGCGAGGGCGTAAGCCTCAGTCGAGGAGATAATTTTTTATCCCGTCCATTGTGGAAACCTGTACGGCTTCGTGGTTGAACCTTTTAATGTACGCTTAGAGGGACTCATCCTTCCCCTGGATGATGGCCTCCAGTGCAGCTTCTGATTTGGGGTGTCAGCGAGATGCTGTAAAATGCCTGGAGAATTGTCTCCCCAAGCCCTTCCAAGAAGTAATAGACTAATCTGGAAGGCTCTGGTACCAAGACATGGCTTACTTTCTGAGAATTGTCGGGAAGAGTCAGCATTTGATTGATCCTCGGCACCCTCTGTAGTCGAGTAAAA